AGTGAGACCCCAACTCTTTCTAAAAATAGAAAAATTAGCCAGCCATCACTGTAGGTGCCTATAGTCTCAGCTACTCAGGAGGCTAATGTAGGAGAATTGCTTGAACCCAGGAGTTTCAAGTTGCTGTGAGTTAGGCTGGGGCAATGGAGTGAGACTCTGTCTAGAAAAAAAATAAAAAGACCTTAAGGCTCAATAGTAAGTGCTGCCTTGCTATCTAATAAAATATAAGGGACTCTAATGAACTAAGTACGAATTCTCCTCTCCACCATGCCCCTATGGATAATGCTCCCTAGCTCAACAATTCTCCTTATCAAATTGAATAGGTATAGTTCCAGGTTACTCTCGAATAGCAGGTTTCAGCTCCCTGCCAGCCAACCACATCCTCTCAAGGAAATCAAGGGATACCTCACTCTTTTGATACCATAAAGTCTCTCTCCCAAAGCCCCCTTTTGTTCCTTCTGTACCTCAGTGCAACCAGGTGTGGCCCCGAGTGGCATACAGTGTCCTCCTCCAAACAGGTGGTACATATTTGCAACTTATAAACTGCTGTCATGCTCATCTATTCAGTCTCAGGTGTTGCATATATTCAGCCACCCCCATAACTCCAGAGTGGAAATCTTTCCCTCACCAACAGGTAAATACAGGTGATTAAAACAGAGTAAGAGGCTGAGCATGGTATCTTATGCCTTTAACCCTAGCAATTTGGGAGACCAAGGTAGGAGGATCACTTGGGGCCAGGGAACAGAACAACACAGTAAGACCATGTCACTTAAAAAAAAAAAAAAACAGAAAAACTAGCCACACATGCCCAGTACACGCCTATAGTCCCACTACTCAGGAAACTGAGACAGGAGAATCACCTGAGTCCATGAATTTGAGATTGCAATGAGCTAAGATGATGCCACCACACTCTAGGCCAGGCCGCAGAGTAAGATCCTACCTCCAAAAAATAGAAAGTAAGAAATGAATTCAGTCCTTAACATACTAAGTTTGATACACCCTATAAGACAGTTATGAAAAACATCCACAGAAAGCTATCAGGAGGCTTAGGAAACAAGACTGGACTGGATATAACTTAGAAATCATTAATAACCAGAAGCACAGATAAGAACATCTAGTGAGAACTTTACACTCAGAAAAGAGTAGAGTCCAAGATAAAGGTCTTGGGAAATGTCATTTAGGAGCAGAAAGAGAATCAAAAGAGAAGTTAGGGATATAGCCTAACAAGCAGGAGAAAGATGAGGAAACTACACTAGGAAACTAAGAAAGTGGATATAGTTAGACCAGCCAACAGTTTCAAATGCTACCAACAGGATAAAATAAGGAATAAGAAATAAGCATTGGATTTGAGAAGCAGTAAAGTTTCCTTAAAGCAGCGGTTCTCAACCTGTGGGTCGCGACCCACAGGAACTATATTAAAGGGCATTATGAAGGTTGAGAATCACTGCCTTAAAGTAATGTGACAAGTGACACAGGAATACCAATTTGTGAAGAGCAAATGGGAAATAGAGGTGTAGAGAAAACCAGTTCTTCAAGAAACAGCAATAAAACTACATGTAAAAAATTAGGTCACTTACACCTCCCTACACTGACCACCTCCTTAAGCTGACCTAATTTTCATAGACCAGACCTGTACCACATATATGTATCAGTACAGTAGGCCTAGTTCCTTATGTTGACCAGTTTGTTACAGTCCCTTGAGTGGTCAACTTACAAAGGTTCTACTGCAGAACTAGAGTATAAGAAGATATCAAGGAGAGAGACAGAATGAGGCAGGGGTTACATATGAAAAAATAGTGTCTGAGAATACTCCAGAACTGATCAAAGACATCAACTGTTATGTTCAAAAAACCTAATGAATCCCAAGAAAACTTATTTTAAAAAAAATAATCACCTAAATATTTGATTAAGAAAAGATCTTTGACTGAGAATATGACAGAAAAATTAGCTGGGCATCGAGGCGTCTGCCAGCTCCTTAGGGGGCTGAGACAGGAGTAAGACTTGGATTGACAGCTGGCATCTCAAGGAGAAGTCATAAGACAGTGGAATGATTAAAAGTAAAATTTTATAACCAGCAAAAATATTTTTATAGAACAAAGATATAATAAAAAAATCAGGTAATTTAATTTGCACTAATATAATTATTAAAATAATCTTGATTATATTATTCCTGAGTTTCATAAGTCCTTTGTAAAGTTCTAGAGTGTTTTTGTTTTGTTTCCAAGGGTGGACTAGAGACTTAACTAAGAAGTAAAATCATACAACTTAACGCTAACCTAGTAGTATACTGAACAAAAGAAAACACTATTCAGTTTTTTTCAGTTTCATCACAAAACCGTAAACTATTTTAAAAAGACAATAGACATAGTACCTGTTCCATAACTTCAGGTGCCATCCAGCAAGGAGTGCCCACAAAGGTCTTTCTCACTTTGTTTCGGGTAATATCACCACCAGTTGCTAAAAAAGCACTAACCCCAAAGTCTGAAATAGAAAACAACAGCAAAGTATTGAAAGTGCATTAACCATCATAACAAATAATAATATAATAAAGTCACCATCATATAAATAAATGAGACAAATAGCATGATTACTTTCATCTTTTTGCTAATCTTCTTTTGACTAAATTAAAGCATAGCTTAACAGGGCCCTCATTCCATTCTTCTCCACACCTACACATTGATCATCTCAGATTTTTCTCCTTGCTCCAAACCATTCTGTATTTCACTATCTCAATCATTCATTCATTTATTTTTTAAATTATCATTTTAACAAGGCCCTTTCAGCTCAAAAAATCCTATATAATGAAATACAATCTTTTTAACTTGGTATTCAAAAAAATTACAAACAATCTGGAACTAAACAGAGTTAGTAATACTAAATTTATATCCTAACTTTACCTCTTAATAAGGTGTGATACTGCTAAACTCAGTTAACATCTCTAAGCCTCAGAATTTTCTCTACGAAGTTTTTATCCCAGAATACTGAAGCCAAAGTACTAGTCACTGATGAAAAAGACATCCTGTCTCACCATGATTCTTCTCTGTAAAGGGTCGCTGAAGCTGAGTCATGCTAATAGCCACATCCTGAAGGTCACCAGCACAAGTGAGTACTTGCCCATCCTGAGGCTTAGCTGTTCGGTAGATTCTTTGATTCTATGTACTTCCTTGTGTATTTCAAAAATTCCTACATTGTTAACTTAGCTAATGATTACTTCTGATGCAACCAAAAGAATCTTAACTAATAGAGTGAGGCTTTTATGAGTATACATCTTATCCTTACACACCCTTACCTGACTTCCCTTTTTGTTTTTTAGCTTAGATTGGATATAAGCTCCTTGTGCCTTACTGGTGGGAATATTATATTTTTCAGAAAATCTGCAGGTATATAAAATAAGTCTATATTTCAAAGCAGAATAAATTATGGACAATTCCAGTGTGAGAGGATAATTTTAGCAAACTTGAAAATTCCAGATTCATAAATCTATAAATTCAGCCATCCTAAAGTAATTGTTTGCTTATCACTGTATAAAACAGTAAATGTACACAACACAGTTCTAAAGGAAAAAAAAAAACTCTTTAACAGTTCATGATCCTTCTACCCTGGCAAATATCTAGGAATTTTAAAATGCTGTTCCACTCATAAAATAACAACAAGAAAGTAAACATTTATTAAAAGTGCATTTGAGAGGGAAAAAAGTACATCCTATGCATTCATCTCTCCCACTATCTAGCTAAACTTGGCACCTATTTTCAATATTTGTGCTATACTTCATCTGTAAAAAGTAGGTATTATTATAATAGTACCTGTCTAATAAAGTCTGTTTGGTATTTTTGTTTGTTTTGTTTTGTTTTGTTTTCCAGTTTTTGGCCAGGACCGGGTTTGAACCTGCCACCTCCAGCATATGGGGCCAGCACCCTACTCCTCTGAGCCATAGGTGCTGCCTCCTAATAAAGTTTTTTTAAGGATTAAATGAATTACACTATACTTAGAACAGTCTCTCTTAGTACATATTAAGCACTGAATAAACACTAGTATTTTTATTACTAACCAGTGGGAGAAAGCTATGCCTTAAAATATTTAAATATGATAAAGATTCAATAGGGCTATATACAGTATGTATTTAAGGTTCAATTATGAATTTTTTTAAATTTCTTAAAACGTACTAGTACTTAAAATATCCAGAATTTCAAATCCAGAATTTAGCCGGGCATGGTGGCCCATGCCTATAATCTCAGAAGCTGAAGCAAGAGAAATGCTTGAGCCCAAGAGTTTGAGGCTGCAATGAGCTGTGATCATGCCACTGTTCTCTCCAGCCTGGGTGACAAAGCAAGACACCCCCCATCCCCACAATCTCTTAAAAAAAAAAAAAAAGCCAGAATTTAATAATAATCCAGACTTTTTAGATCATCAGCTGCTATACCTCTAGTTGCTTCCAAGTAGGACTTATCAACTCTGCAGATTCTACTTAAAATACTTAGCTAAGTAATGTGAGAATATCCACTTTACCAAAACTTTCCTTTTAAATAATGTGCACAGCTACAATGCCAAAGAAACATAATCCAACCATAAAGTTAAGACCAGAAGCCAAGTAGCAAAAATGCCATTTGCCTTTCGTTTTAAACCAACTACAGAGAAAGAGCAATTAAAATGTGCAAGAAATCATTTTAACTCCTATGTTAACACAATTTCAACTAAAGTACAAGATGGACTTTCGTGCCTACTATGTGATCAAAAGTGATGATCAAAGAAGATGAGCACCTTGCCTCTGCGCAACTTCTTTCTAGAACAGGCAATTATGATTCTTTATAATAAATGCTATCTATACAATAATACAGTCTGAAAAACTTATAAGCCCCTAAAACATAAGACTCTTAAAAGCAAATGTAGGAGAAAAGCTCCAGGACACTGGATTTGGCAACAATTTCTTAGATATGATACCAAATTCCAGGCAATAAAAGAAAAAGTATATAAATTGGACCTCATAATAATTAATAACTTTTATGCATCAATGTTCACTATCTACAGAGTGAAAGGCAACCCACAGAATGGGAGAAAATATTTCACAAATTATGTATCTAATAAGAGATTGATATCCAGAATATATAAAGAACTCCTATAATTTGATAACAAAAACATTCCAATGCAATAATGGGCAAAGAACCGGAGTAGACATTTCTCCAAAGTAGATATACAAATGGCCAATCAACACATGAAAAGATGCTCAACATCACAAATCATCAAAGAAATGCAAATCGAAAACACAATGAGCTGGATACTACCTCACATCCCTTAGAATGGCTACTACCAAAAAAAATTTTTAATTTAAAAAGAAACTAACCAGTATTAGTGAGAATATGGAGAAACTGGAACCCTTGTGCCTTACTTATGGGAATATAAATTGGTGCAGCTTCTCTGAAAAATGATACAGCAATTCCTCAAAAACTTAAACACAGGATAATCACGTGATCCAGCAATTCTCCTGGTGGGTATATACATCCAATGGAATTATTATTCAGCCTTAAAATGTAATGAAATTTTCACACATGCTACAACACAGATGAACCAGGAAGACATACAAAATGAAATAAGCCAATCACTTAAGAACAAATATTAAATGATTCCACTTATCAGTTACTCAGGGGAGTTAAATTTGTAGACAGAAAGTAGAACGAGGCCACCCAGGCTGGGGGGAGAGGTTGAATGGGAAATAATTTTTTAATAGGTGGAGAGTTTGAGTCAAGAAAGATGAAAGAATTATGAATATGGATGGTGGTAATAGCTGCACAATATCAATGTACTTAATGCCACCAAATCATAAACTTGAAAATGGTTATAATAGTAAATTTTATGTTATGTATGCTTTACCACAATAAAAAAATATAAGAGTGAACTAAGGAGGCAGTGTTGGCAGGGGTTGGTGATAGACTAAACATGAGTCAAGGAGAAGAGATAGCTAGTACTGTTGTTCCCAAATTCCTGGTTCATCCAGATGGCTGGCTATGGTGCCATTCACGCTAGATAGGGAAACTAATGTCCAATCCAACCCTATTATTATATTTTTATGATTCATTAATGCTTTTGTATGAAGCTGTAGTTCTACTTATTTTCATCACTATACAAGTATAGTGTTACAACATGTAAATTAATCACAATTTATTCATCCATTCTACTAATCAAAGGTATCGGGTTTATTTCAAATTTGTAGTGATCATGAACACTGTGATACATATATGAACAAATTTCTCTATGCCATACACTTAAAAGCCGAAGTCCTAAAGTATGCATATCTTTAACTTTAATAAAATGGTTGTACCAATTTATATTCCCTCCATCAGAACATGAGATTTTTTTCCCTTGCTTTATACCCACATCAACAGTTGGTACTATCAGATGTTTCTGCCAAGTCAATCAATTTAAGGTGATTTTACTTTACATTTAATAGATTACTAGCAAAGCTAAGTATCTTCTGTCACACAGACTAAAGTGTAATGGCATGATCATAGCTCACTGCAACTTCAAACTCCTATGTTCATACAATTCTCAGCCTTCCAAGTAGCTGAGACTACAGGCACAAGCCACCGTGCCCAGATAATCTTTCTTTTTAAAAATTTTTTGTAGGAATAGGTCTCACTATGCTGCCCAGTCTGGTCTTGAACTCTCAGTCTCAAGCAATACTTCCACTTTGAGCTTCCAAAGTACTAGAATTACAGGCAAGAGGTACGGCAACTGGCCTGGATTTTTTTTTGTATTTATGTTCAGATGTCTTCATTTAGAAAGTACCTATGCCAGGCTTCTGTCCACTTCTTTATCTATTGTTTTTTTCCTAATGAGCTCCTTATATATTCTAAATTTGGGCCCTTTCACAATTATTCATGTTGAAACATGTTCTCTACTCTGTGGCTTGCATTTTTTCTTTTTTTTTTTTTTTTTTGGCAACAGAGTTGCACTTTGTCACCCTCAGTAGAATCTCACAGCAACCTCAAACTCTTGGGCTCAAGTGATTCTCTTGCCTCAGCCTGCCCAGTAGCTGGGACTACAGGCACCCGCCACAACGCCCAGCTATTTTTAGAGAGGAGGTCTCACTCCGGCTGGTCTTGAACCTGTTAAATCACACAATCCACCAGCTTCTGCCTCCCAGAGTCCTAGGATTACAGGTGTGAGCCATCCCACCCAGCCTTGTGCCTTGCCTTTTTATTGTTAGTGATAAGTCATTTGTACTTCTTTTGATGAGGTTAAGTTGTTAATTTTAAACAAGTCAAATTTATAAATCTTTTAAGTTTGAGCTATATGTGACTTGGGTAAAATATTTCCTTACCTCAAGGAGAAAATATTTGCCTAAACTATCTTCTTAAAGTTGAAGGAAAAAGAAAATCAAGGTTTGGGTGATTATCGTTCTCCTGCCGAACCAAATACCTGCCTGTTTTAGTGGTCTGGAACCATTTCTGCATATAACCATTCCTTACCAAAGAATGAACAATTCCACTGTGTGCAGTACCAGCATCTACCACAGTATATAATGTCTTTCCTAAATGTGTACTGAAGCATAAGAAAATCAATCATGCTATTGAGGTTTTCTGAAATGCATTATAGACAATCCCTGGGAATAGTCATTCTGGAGTCTTACTTAGCCTGGAGGAGTGGTGTTTTATCAGGATAGCTACCTTTGGCAGGACCTACTCAAACTCTTATACTTTCAATTCTGAAACAGACAAAAGTACATTTCTACTTCTCAGATGCCTTTTCCAATTGATGAATATATCACTTCTATCAGGACAGAAGGCTCTGTATAATCTTTCTACAGTATATTTATTCTTAAACACATTTAGTATTCTTGACTATTTTTCTTTAAAGGAAAGTACAGAATGCTATGAGAATCCATAGCAGAAGGCCCTAAATGGTTTAAGGGATGGATGATTGGAAGGTAATGAGTAATGACTGGAAAAATCTAAGATCTGAAATGAAAGATGAGTACTAGAAGGTATCTTGAGAGTTAGCTTCATGGATGATGGTCCAGGGAATAAAGGTTAAAAAAACATAAAAGATAAGTAATGTAGTTCTATTTACCATTAAAATACTAATCATTACCTGCAATCTGTACTGATCCATCTTCTCCAAGTAGAATATTTCCAGCTTTCACATCTCTTAAAAAAAAAAAAGTTACATAATAAAAAACACTTATTCTTTGGAATAACATAATTTAAGCAATTGTTTACTATATTCACACAATAGTAGCAATATTTAAATGTTCTATTTTACAGTAAGGATATTACAGTAAATAGTAAAATTTTTCAAACCTTTGTCAGTGGTACTAGAATCTGAACAGAAACCTACAATAAAGTATAGCCTCCTACCATAATATTGAGAAAAGCCAGGAGATTAAATATTCTGATTAGGATAACAGTAATCATAGAACGTGACTCTCACCTAATTCTACTTTTTGAAATAAGCTGTTTTTTTCTACACCCTAATAAATGATCAATTTTTTCTAAATAATCCAGCAAGCACGTAGTTGAAAACAGGGGCTATTCTATGCCTATAGCAAATAGATAAAAAGTACTCAGACATCTCTCTATTTTTAACTATTTATAATGACTTGATTGAGTCACCATAATGAACAAATTATACATTATAATGTATAAGTAATACATGAACAATTCTTGTTACAAAAACCTAAATACCACAGAAAAGGCCAAAGTTCCTTTGACCACTATTCTCAAGTACTTTCTCCAAAGTTTTCAACTGTTACTAGTTTGGTTAACAGAACATGTACCTTGACATATCTGGGCTATTCTCTCAACATAAATGATATTATACTATCCATTCTAATCTATAACTTGTTTTGCTTTTTCATGGAACAACATGTTAGTAATTAGGCAAAATTAAAAACACCTGAATTCTAAGAGCAGCAATCCATTTCTTGGTAACCCAGAGACTCTCAAAAATGTATAAAAATAAAAACTGTTAAGAAGATAGCCAACAATAGAAACTTAAATTAATTCTGTTAGATCCATGAATAGAAGTTGTGACATGATAATGGCCTCTAACACACATTGTTAAATGAACAAATCAAATGGGAGGATAGTGTATTATATATGACATGATTAATGTTACACACACTAATACATATACACTCTTTTCCATATATACCAAAGGGAAAGCAATAAATGATTCCTTTTGTGGAGATAAGTGAGATTAAAGTCAAAGAGAACAGTATGTTATTTTTATTTATTTTTTTTTAAGGAGAACATGATAAAAATCTATTAGTCATTTAATAATTAAAAATAATTAAATAAACAAAAGAAAGGCAGGCCTTGAGGCCAGGAAAGCACAACACTTCATCCTATCCCTTTCCCCCCGGTCTCTGGATATAACCATGCCTTGGCAAACAATAAACAAGAATTCCACAACTGTGTGCACCAGCAGCATCATATCACAATATACAATGTCTTTTCAAAATATATACTGAAGTGTAAGAAAATCAATCATATTACTGAGTATTTTGTACTGCTTATCACCCCAAGTGATTTACAGGTCATTTTCCCAGAGGCTATTTTAGTAGAGTGGAGGTCAGCCTGTTTTGACCCTACACTACAAACAGGAAAGAAGTGAGGACATCCTTTTCCCTTGGTGACAAAGATCATCCAACTGAGTCAACCACTAACTTCCAACTCCCTTTTCTGAGTTCATCTAAAACCGAATGGGGTATAGGAGAAAGCATAGTTTATTCACTCCCTCCTCTGAGTTTTTGCAAGAGGCTACACTATAGTGTCAGCATATTGTACTATATTGTCATATTTCTAGGTGTGTCCCCTCATTTCACCATGAGGTAGATCTAGGCTTATATCTTAACATGTTACTACAGCACCTGTATTTACTTAGCATTATGGTTAGTAAATAGGTGGCATCTCCAGATATTCACCAAACAAACCTAAATAACTATACAGAAGCAACTTTGTCTCAAATCCACTGAAAAAAAGTGGAGTATTAAAAAAACAAGTAAATTAAAAATGCTGGTTAAACATTAAAAAATAGTAAGAGATTATTCCTTCCCTGTTTTCCCAAATCCCAACTTCCCACCTCCAAATTTTAGGGTTATAAAACTAATATATTGCAGTCAACAAATGGGAACAACCTAACTATCCATCAAAAGAAGTTAAGCTATGGTATACCTATACCATAAAATACTACAAACTAAAGAATATGTGTTTATACAAAACAATCTCCAAATGTATTCTTAAGTGAAAAAAGAATACTACATATAAAATTTAGTAATAATATAATTTAAAGAGTCATTTAACTCTTCTTTTAAAAAAAAGCAGGATAGAGATAGATATATGTTATGTTTATACTGGTATAAAAATCTCTCTCAAAGGAGTCATAAGAAATGATTCCCTTTGGACTAAGGTATTGGGAGTTGGGAGGAAGAGGACTTTTTTCTAATACTTTATTTTTTAGACACTTTTAGATTTACATAAAAATTGAGAAGCTAGTGCAGGAGTTCTTACCTAACACTTAGTTGCTCCTATTATTAACATCTTACATTAGTATGGTACTTTCCTACAATTAATGAACCAGTATAAATATATCATTATTAACTAAAGTCCAGAGTTTATTCAAATTTCTTTAGTTTTCACCTAAGGTACTTTTTCTATCCCAAGATCCCATCCAGGATACCATAATGACATTCAGTTGTCATGTTACCTCACACTCCTCTTGGTTGTAAGTTTTTCATATTTTCCTTGTTTTTGGTGACTTTGACAGTTTTAAGGAATAATGGTCAAGTATTATATAGAGTATCAGTCTATTAGAATTTGTACTATGTTTTTCTCATGATTAAACTGGTGTTACAGGGTTTTGGACGAAAACCCACATAGGAAAGCACCATTTTCATCACATCGTATCACGGGTACACAGTATCAGCATAATTTATAATTTAGGTCATATTGAGAAACTTGTTTTCTACCATATATCATTTTGCTGTTTGGATTTTTTAGGTCATATGTATGTGTTACCTATTCAAATAGTGTTTTATAAGTTTTTATCTTTCATAACTGAAGAAACAGCAATCCATTTTTAGTAAAGTCTGCACTTTGAGTACTTTTCGTGATAAATTTCCCAAATAATCAAATCATGCTTCCCTTTTGAAACCAAAAAATGCAATCTGTAGACAGTCTCCAGGAATAAAGGCAGAGGAATATCATGACCCACTGAACAATCATAAATACCACACTTTGTCCTCAAACAGGACAA